TTAAAAAAAAAAAAAAAAAAAAAATGCCCCAGCGAACGACGACTGTAAAGCTTTGAGCTTTGATGATTTTGTTCATTACGAAAAAATGTTCAAGCACTTGAGAAGAACTTAGCCGTTTTATAATCAGCAAGATCATTAACGTTCACGTGAGACTCTCCACAGTACTCGTATAACCTTTCACAAGCGACTGAATTAACGCTCCTTTAATCCCTCTACATCTCTTTAGTCGAGTGCTTGAGAGCACAAGAAGAAGGAAAGAAAAAATCGTGTGAAAAAAAATCGGGGGAAATTGTAAATTGCAATACCACCCCCTAAATTCCCATTAACTCTCCCGTTAAATCTAGCTGTGAGCATCGATTTCCGAAGACGCGAAATGTACTCGCGAGGCTGAATTTTTTTTCCCGGACTATTTTATTCTCTTTTTCTTGGAGTGAAAACGTCCGGTACTTTCAATCAATTATTCACTCTGCATAACTGATGGCTCTCCTCTCCTCTCTGGTGAAGGAAAAAAAAATCCCCCATCCAATGGCATATCAACGGAACACGTCAGTGACAAGCACTGTGGAACACACTGCATGTACGAGGTGGAGCGACAATGGAATAATATGCCTTTCCATTTTGATACGCTCTGTCTACCCCCTCTCGACTTTTATCTCTGCCATCGTGTCTGTGTTCTGAATAATCATTCAACACGAGTTCTCTTTTTATTATCGTGTCTTTCCGGATTTAGACGTGCCACTGAGGGACTGAGAATTTTGTCCAATGGATAGTGCATGAAAAAGATGAGGATTAGTGGTTTTAGATTCAGAGGGATTTGAATTTTCCCGGGCTTTCACGGAATGGCGGGTGTTTCACGAAATGGCAACGGACGGAGGTCAGCGTGAACCGTCTTCAATTGGCAATATCTCAAGATTGGTAGAGTCGAATTTAAGAAATTTGGCGTCGTTTTCAAGATATTTTTTTCATCTTGAAAATGAGATGAGACCGGTCCAAATCGTATCGTTAGGTCCGGAGATATTGGAATGGAATTAAATTCCGCCCTGCCTTTCTACCGAGAAATAAGATCAACAGATTGGAACAATCGCGCTGCACATCGTAATTATCCATTACAAATTACACCCGTACATCCAAAACAAATAATTAAAAATTCCCAATTGAGTTGCACAATAAATCACCCCTAAATTCAATAATTATGATGTCAATTATCCACCCAAATTAATTCAATAAAACTTGTGTACCCGAGACACGCCATTCGTATAATTTGAGGAGCTAAAGTGAGCTGTAGGTGTGGGAGAGGGGGGCTCTCGCCCCTCTCCATCACTTGAAAAGAGGAGTGAGGGGTGAAATTCTCACGGGTGCGTCCCCCGAAATTGCCGGAGGAAGGGAATTCTAGAGGCAGGCGGGAAATCAAATTAACGGCGTCTACGTCCCGTTGGGTTAAACCAGGGAACTGGTGAGGTAAGCCTCCCTCTCCACCACCCCGCCGCCCTCTCTGCCACCCACTTTTCCTCTTCTGTCGTTCGTCTTCGTCGTCTCTCGTCGCTTCCAGTTGCTACTGCCGCCTCTGGCTAAATACCCTAATTCATATTAATGGATGGCCCGACGCCCGACGCAAGTCTCATTCGTTTTTGGTGGGTGGCGGTGAGGAGGGAGGGGGAGCGAGAGGGGTTGGGACTGCTTTGAAGTTCTGCTCCGCGAGTTTCAGAGATCTACGGTAGAGACATTGTTGAACTAATTAAAGAGCTCCATCGACAGGACGCAGAGTTAACGGAGAATTCTGCGTTTGGGATGGGGTAATTGCTAATCAATATGGATTTGGATGATTTTCATGTTTTGGAAAACGGAAGTTGTAGTTGGTAATTGAAATTGACGGGGTCGCAGTGGATTAGTGGTATGAGGTTCAGAGGGAATTTGAATTTTCCCGGGGCTTTACGGAATGGCGGGTGGGTCACGAAATGGCGGCGGTAGGAGGTCAGAGTGAATAGTGTTTAATTGGTGATATCTCGAGAACGGTTGAGTGAAAGGTGAAAAATTAGGCGTCATTTTCAAGGTTTTTTTCTAAACTTTGAGATGAGATGAGATTTATTCAAATAGCATCGTTGCATCACTAGATATTGAGGTTTAAATAATCGCGGAATCGGAATCAAAATCTGTTCAGCCCTTCTACTAATTTTTAAATCAGTCTAATTGCCTTGAATGGCCCTAATGGGGTGTAAAATGAGCAATTATCGAATATTTAGAGCATGAAACGAGCGATCCAACGACTGCAATTAGACTTGTGTCATTCAATCTCCGTATATACCTCCTTCCAGAGAGTGTAAATTCCACGTTGAATGTAAATACGCGGGTGATTAGTACCGAGTTGGACATTGTTCTACCCTGTACCCAGGATTTACAATGAAGTAGCGCGCAGGATGGGAAGTTGAAGGGTTGTGAGAGTGCTCGGGGGTAGAAATTGAGGCCATTGTTCTATCGAAAGTTACAGTCAAGGGGAGAGGAGAACATGTACACTAGGGAGTTCTCTCTTCTCGCGTGAATCTTCCTAGCGTCTACCGAAGGCTCTGGGGGTGTTTAGACAACCCCAGCAGTATGTACACAAGTCTCTCTTTAACGAGAGTCGATTCAGAGTCGACAAAAAAAAATCCA